GTATGTGCATGCATGTATATATATGAATGTGCATATTTACGTATGTGTATATGTACATGTTTATATGTATGTGTATGTATTAAGTACAATTATACTGTACACTTATGCTGCATATTATCTTGATTTTGATTTTTTTATAATTGTTTATCTCTTTCTTGCTTTTTACTGTATTTCTGGGATGATTTTTCCTTTCTTTTACTATTTTGTTAAACTCCCTGATTTTTCTGTTTATCTTTGCGTTTCCTTTTTTAACTTTTGTTCAATTTTACTATATAGTTTTTTGATTAGTTAGTCTGGTGAATAGTGTGTGCCACTGTTGTAAAAGTGTGTGCCAATAAAAAATAAAACTGAAACTGACCTCCATTGACTCACTGAATACGTGATTGGTTGATATTGAAAACCAGCCATGCGGAAGTTCTAAGCAGCTGAGAGTACGATGCGATAGGCCCGAATGTGACTTATCCTAGATACCAAAGTAGGCCAAACATTGAAAACTTTGCTTTTCCAATAAACCACAGAAATCCACTCGAAAAATTAAGGTTTATATAGAAGATTGTGGCTAAGAAATGCTAAATCAAACGTAGAAACTGTACTACTATATTTTCTTACTTGTTTTAGCCAGGGTATGCACTGCATACCTTGCTTGCCTTGACGATCCGCCACTGAATTTTACTAGTATATGAAAGTGTCATTTCTGGTCATCTAGAGATAATGATGATGATGATGATGATGATGATGATGACGATAGTGATAGTTAATAATAATAAATTAAATAACATTAAAAAGTGAAGAAAATTGTGCTAAATGAGAAAAAAGTTGTGATTTGTTGATCATAATTATTATAGTATAGTTAAAGCTTAGTAAGCTATAGTTATTCCATACCGGTGGTTGTCTTGGATATTAAGTAGATCCCTGATAAAAGATCATGAGAAATTTATTGGCGTTTCATTTTGATTACGGTATATAATGGTGATGTGATGACGATGATTTTTTTGGGGGGGGGGGTTTACCCACTTTTATTCAACAATGATGTAGGCATATACATATCATATACATAGGCATATATAAATTATTTTACTACCGCCAACCAAGCGAAACATTCAGTTTTCCTCCCTTTTTCTCCCCTCTTTCTCTTTTTTCCTTCTTACCTTTCTTTCTATTTTTTATTATAGCTTAAAAATCTATCAAAAGAAAAGAAATTAAGTAAACTCCAATTATACGCCATTCTAATTCGTTTAAAAAAGTATTGAATAAATCTGGTTTTGATAAACAATCATAATACTTCATTCTAAATCTAAAAATTG